GACCTTGCAATGCAAGCGTTGCACAATCAACTCTGTATTCATGCCACAAAGCTTCTATCCTTATCTGTGGATCTACTCAGTAACTTCTTGCACCCGAATCATTGAGTGAGTTGAAGTATTGGCCATTTTTGTAGTGCAATTTAACACCGCGTTACTCGCCTGCTTGAGCCACTTGTCAGCTTCCACCGACTTTTATTGACTGTTCATGTCCTCTGGAAAATGTTGGTTATTCCTTGCATCCGTTTCATTTACATTTGGCCTCGAATAACCATCTGACCTGAGCTCTTTCATCACATTAGGCCCCTTCGTCGTTGATATCTCGATCTACATGTTAGAACAAAAGAACGTCTTGTTTCACCCCAGTGGAATTACTGAGGTCCAACAGGCGGTTCGGTAGCAGACGCGCTGCTCTGGATCGTCCCTCGAGCTTGAACCGTGTGTGTTTATTGGACCTTGTACATCTGACATCCTTTGTGTACTGTTCGCAACTACGCGTCCTCGTTGGATGCTGCCTCAGAGTAAGCAGCAAATTGAGCGGCAAAAAGGCTTAGATGAATTGATCGAAACCCTACCTGGCTGTCCATCGCAATGAGGCTGGACCTTACCGTGATGCGATGGTTTGTGTGCCTCAGCGATCCATTGAGCTATGCTGGGTGGTGCTTTTGCACCTTTAGATGCACTCATACCAGATTGGTCAATGGTTAGAGGCCAGACAAACTCAGCCTCCTGGTCCACCAGGTTGGGGTTTAGAATGAGGGTGACACCTTATTCCTTAAAACGGACTCCTTGTAGCCCAGTGCCAAACCCGCTGCCTTGCGGTTAGGTTTTTTGAACCAAAGGCTTTGGTTGAGAACCCTAATCGTTCTCCTGTCTAGGCCTAGGCAACCTGACAGTATCCTGCCCACGCAATACAATGAATCTTTCCTCAAACAATTTCTTGATGCTCTAGCCACAGCAAACGATAATCAACGGTGCCCTATCTGCTGCATCGAGCAGGGTGGATATGGGTTCGGATGCTACTGCTCAAGCCTTCCTGTCTTCTTATTCCCCCTCCTCTTATGCTTTTTCTCTCTTACCGTCCCGTTCCAACTTCACTTTTATCCCCCTGTTTTTAACCCTCCGATTCTTGACCCTCACCCAACATGCTTTGCTAGGCATTTACCCTCTAGTTTTAACTCACATGTGAACGCGGAGTGTCACTCCTCTCCTGTCGACAAGCCCATGTCCAACCAAGCGGTCCATTCAAGTTCATCGGCTTCCATTTGGAGCCCTCGATCCTCCTTCAGATTGACATGCCTCAATGTACGCACATTACTACAGCTCGGTCAACAGGCAGCACTTGCCCGAACATTGGATACCCTGTCGATCGATATCTGCTGCTTATCGGAGACCCGCCTGCAAGACTCGAGCTCTGTACTCACTCTGCGATCCCATTCAGGTGACGCAAGCAGTGTTTTCTCATGGCGCCTATCCGGTGACGATGCAGCTTCAAGCACCGGCCAAGCTGGTGTCCCCGGGCTGAAGCTGCTCTGGTTGATTGGATTCCAATCAGTAGCCGAATGTGTGCGGTCCGATTGACTGGCTCGTTCAAAGCTTCCAAGTCGCGCGGGACTAATAGGTGTCTACTCATCATCGCTGCCTACGCACCCACAAACTGTAGCGATGATTCGGTAAAGAACGACTTTTACCGCCAACTGACCCAGCTCCTTCGCCACAGAAGAAGCACGGACACTGTTGTGCTGGATGGGGATCTGAACGTGCAACTTGGAAAGTTGTCCACTGATGAAATGCCTTTGGGCGGTCAGCACGGTGTAGGCTCCCGTAATGATAACGGTGAGCGGTTACTTCATTTGTGTGAAGATGCCCGCTTATTTCTTGCGAGCACTAACGTGACACAGCACCCGCCGGAGGGTGACTTGGCGCCCACCAGCCTTGAACGCAAATTGATCACATTGCAATCAGTTACCGCTGAAGAGGCTGCATCCAGAACTGTCGCTCGATTTGGAGCACATGTGTGGACACCGATCATGCACTTGTATGTGCTGACATGCGGGTGCGTTTTGGCGGACGCCCACGACGACGCTGTGAGCGCATTGACACCAGCCAACTGACAAAGCCAGCTGTTCTGAATGCGTATCGAAGTACGCTGACATGCGAGTTGAGTAAGCGCTCACTGGAGGCAGTCAATGGTCACCTGTTCACCAGACCTTACTAGCAGCAGACAAATCCTCATGTGGTATGTCTAATAGGCAACATGGATATTGGGTCTCTTCGCAGTCTCTGGAACTTATCGACGCTCGCCGGCATAGCCCTGCTGGAAGCGAACACAGTGAATCTCGCAAAGAGCTCCGAGAAAAACTCCGTGCTAGCGTGAAGAGAGACCGCGAATCTTGGTGGTCTAATCGTGCGTCAGAGCTGGAAGTGGCCGCTGTCCTTGGCAACCATCGTAAGTTATTCCATCTGATACGGGAAACGGGCAACAGGAGATCTGGTGTTAGTGAAACTATACGTGACGAGAGTGGACAGCCTATCCACAATTTGTCAAAACGTTTGGAGCGTTGGGCTGAGCATTTTGAAAAGCAATTCAATCGGCTAGAATTGTTCGATTCTTCGCCGGCCAGTGATCGCCCTGCTCCGTGGGCTGTCCCTTTGGATCCACCCTTTCGCTCAGAAGTCGAACGTGAGATCGGACTGTTGAAGTTGAACAAAGCCGCGGGACCAAATGATCTTCCTCCAGCCCTCTTCAAATTCGGAGGCTCTGCTCTTGTTGATGCTTTACATGAATTACTATTGAAACTGTGGGAGCAAGGACTGTCGTAACCGACTGGAGCCGCTCCGTTATTGTTCTCATCTTCAAAGGAGGCTCGCGATCGGAATGCGGCAACCATAGAGGAATCAGTCTGATCTCCATCGCCTCCAAATTACTCGCCTCCATAATCCTTCACAGACTGACTGGCACTCGTGAAAGCCAGATTCGTGAGGAGCAAGCCAGGTTTCGTCGGGGTCGTGGCTGCATCGACCACATCTTCACCTTGCGTCAGTTGTTGGTGCACCGTCACACATATTGGCGGCCCACCGTAGTCGTGTTCCTCGACATCAAAGGTGCCTTCGATTCGGTTGATCGATGTGCCCTTTGGAATTGTCTACTCAGGAAAGGTGTGCCCGAGAAATATGTAATATTATCCGTGTATTATACGCGCGTAGCACGGGCAGAGTGAAGGCTTAAGGCAAGCTGTCGCTATCCTTCAATATCTCCAGCAGTGTAAGACAAGGATGCCCGCTGTCACTTTTCCTCTTCAACTTCGCTATTGACGAAGTCATGGAGATTGCATTAACAGGACATGATTTTGAAGGTGTGAAGCTACTCCCAGGAGAACGACTTCTTGACTTGCAGTATGCAGACGACATTGCCCTCATCTGTGACAGCTTCCAGACGTGCCAAGTCGCGCTGGACAGATTAACACCAGATGTCAGCCGCTTCGGGCTTTACTTTGCACCATCGAAATGCAAAGCGTTCCTCCAAGATTGGCAGGGATCGCCTCCTGCGCTGACCCTTGGTGGGGATCAGCTAGAAGTCGTTCAAAAATTCCACTACCTGGGAAGTTGTATCAGCGCCCTTGGGATCGAAGACGAGATCACGAACCGTATAGCAAAAGCTCGAAGTGCTTTTGCTAACCTTCGCCACTTATGGCGGCGGCGCGACATCACTCTCGCCCTGAAGGGTAGAGTGTACAATGCAGCGGTACGTTCGACGTTACTGTACGGTTGCGAAACCTGGCCCCTAAGGTCGGTGGACATGAAGAGGCTAGTTACGTTCGACCATCGGTGCCTTCGCAGTTTGGCTCACATCTGATCTGAGTAACGAGCGTGTTCGACGCCTTGTTTACGGCACAGGAAAAGGAACTGAACCGCTCAGCACCGTCATTTCATGCACCAGGCTCCGATGGCTGGGCCACGTGTTGCGCATGCCAGCCCACCGACTTCCACGACGTGCGTTGTTTGCGCGCCGGGGGTGTGGATGGAAGAAGAGGAGGGGTGGCCAAGCGATGACTTGGTCCAGAGGAATGAAGGCCCTCACTTCTGTGCTGGCCTCAGTTGGAGCGTCACGGCTCCCTGGTTGGGGTCCAAAAGACGGCGAACACGTTTGGCTGGATACACTTGCTGACATGGCAAGGAGCCGACCTCAGTGGCGTTTGTGCTGTGAGTTTCTTTGTCCCTCCCCATCCCTTTTAGCCTCCTCCTCCATCTACGATCTCATTTCGTAGGGTAAAACAATAATCTTTCTTTTTGCCTAGTAGCTGGCTGGTAGCTTGCCGGAACGATGCCTATCCATTGCTGGTAGCTCAGTTGGCATGCAACTTTTGTATTTATTTTCCTTCTTCCTTTATTTATTGCGACACAGTAGGTGAGGTGTTTCCCACCTCTAGCTGACCTGTATAATGATGATGATGACTACCTGGCTGTGCAATCCACCTTGGATGGTGCATGCCAGTCCGGCCACACTATGATTTCAGACTCTATTATGGCGCTGCGCGGTGCCAAGCCACTCCTAGGTTTGGTCTATTGCCTCTGTCTTTTCCCTGAAGTTTTACCTTTTGATTGCATTGCCTCTCTTCATTTTTTGCAACTGTCTGACCTGCAGTGGTCTGTGACCTGCTGATCCGATGAGACGTGAATCGTATCCGTTGATTTAATCGCACCGCGTTCAGTTCATAACTGAGCAACTTCTCTGACTCGTACGAGTAATTTTGCTTTCCATCGACCGCCATTACACTTGCACAGTCTCTCCGTTTCCTGACTCACCAGGTCCCTTCAGCACACGGCCTTCACCGTCCCCACATTTATCGGTTCGCCACAGTAGCATGTATCCGCTGGGCTGTACTTTCCCGTTGCCATGCAAGCACGATCACCTTGACCCTCTTGTTTTAGCATATCCATGGTATATGACGTCACACCGTGAGCGACGCTACATGTGTCCTCGTTTCTTTTTTTATTCACAGTTTGGAGCAAAGAACTGTTTCCGTTCGTTCTAGTTCTCCAGTGAGATCTCGTAGTCCCTCACCCGCTCGACCAAGTACTCCTCCCCACCTACCCCATCGGGACGAGGATAGGGTGTTTAGCGCAAGCGATAATGAACTACATGAATCTGCGGAAGAAGGTCCGCGTCGCAATCTTTCCCTCCTTGGTGAGCTTCCTCTGTTACTAAGCACATGGGAACTATAATCTTACATCAAAACAAATCGTTTGAGCTATTCAATTTAAGTAATTATCATTTCCGCTCTCTTTATTCCTTCCAAGGTTTGAACGAAAGAGCTGGTGGTTCCGGTCGTGCTTCGCCTATCTGTGGTAGCCCGTTTGCTTGCGATGAACGGGTGGCTGAACCAGCTTCGGATGTGCCGTCTTGGCCAGAGGAAACAGGTTGGCGTTCGTGGCCGTTGTGTACATTCGTTTGGGAATACAAATTCCTTTTTTGACTGCTCACTGTATGTTTGCATTCCGATACACAATCTCAGTCTACGCCACCATTTACTTTGCGCTGGACCTCAGTTACCTTCTCTCCACACGGCGGGTTCCGTCCTTATTTGAACGTTTTGCTAATAGGTAACCGGTACTCAGAGTGGAATCCAAGACGTTGTGCTTTAATGTGGTTGCTTTGCTTGCTGGGCCACTGAGCTCAGTGTTGCGAACGATCAACACGAAACATGGCTTCACTTTGGACGCGGTTTCAGTGAAGCAAATGACGAATGGTTACTCCAAGGAGAATTGTTGTCCAAAAAGAAACTGTATATCGCATTCCAAATGCACGCTTTTTCATCTCGCCTGGTGAAATCGCGAGGTGGCAAGTCAATGGTGTGACATAAGAGCATGCAGAAATATGCTCTGAGAATTGCTCAGTCCGATGCATGCCTCCTTTGCGGATGGTGGCCTCTGCATGGTCCATACCAGTGACTGGCGACTACACGCATGGCTCTTCTGCATTCGACTTCTTGATCTAGCTGTTGCTGTTCCTCCCCGACTAACTTTGCTCGCTTCTAACTCCCCTAGTATTCTATTTGCGTTCTATCTCCTTTTCTCGCCATTGCTTTTTGTTTTTATGCAAGTGATGAGAGTTGTGACAATTAATTCCACCACTATTTTGTGCCCGATTCATAGTTCTTTAGTCGTACTTAAATCATAAACCAAACCTTGTTTTATCTAGTGCCCTTGGCTCCCTTTTTTCTTCAAGGCTTTGTCTCTGTCAATTTCGTTGTCGTGATTTTCACCACTGCACTCTTTTTCCAACGGTTATCTACCTCATCCTTTTAGATGATACTGATCAAACAACCTTCAATGCTGCGTTCGACGCGGGTGCTCCGGCTGTCGCTTTCACTACCACAGATGCCGCGCCGGGTGCGTTTGGTAGTGTGTTTATTGCACTAGGATCACCCGAATGGTTTTCCTTCACTCTGACTGAACGCCGGCTTGTGACACTCAAAACGCCGTTCGCTGTCATTGTGTTGCTTGTAGCCAACTCCTCATCCTCTTAAGCGACGCTGTGTCGTGCTATGCACACCAATGCGTCGTATATCTTCATGATGACCTGAATTGGAGTGTTATTGGCATTCCCTTCACCCATCTTGCTTAAGATGGGCCAAGTGGATAAACTAGAGAGTAGTGTACATGTTGCCTATGCACAACGAATGGAACCACGATCGGCTAACATCGATCAGATTTCGCCACACTTGAATATCGGTGCCTGAATGGCTGACTGGGTTTTAGTTCACAGCTCGCCTGTTCAGGTTTGCGTAACTGCAGACGAACTCACGATATCCCTGGCCCACACGCGATTGATAGTAGTCGCATGGCGGCGGAAAGTCCGGGTAACGTGCCGGCGTACTCCTAAAGTCTTTACTCTCACTTTTGGTTCACTGCTAATTTAAGACTTAGCTTACTGCCCAACCAGTCTGTTTCCATGGCATGCGGCTCCGTCTTCTGTACCGGAAGTTGCAACGAACTCATTTGATTTTCTACTTAATGATCATTCTATCCGTCCAACCTGGATGCCTACCAGATTGATGTCTACCAGTAGCATTCTTAGGAGCGGTCAGTTTAGGAGATACCTATGTCCAAGCTGACCTGAATCTGCCCTGTACTTCGATGAGGCCACATGATTCTGGTTAGGACACTTCCTCGGCGTGCAGAGTTTTAATGTTGCATGCAAAAAACAAAGCCCGAGTGTATTCTGTCCGAACTGAGTCCTAGGAGAACTTGAAGGTTAACTGAAGCGATGAAGACTTGTCACGTGACATCGCGCATAGGTTCTAATTCTGGTACATCGTAGTAACAAGGTGACTCAGTTGTCATGTTTCCCATCCATCCACTACGCTGAGTATACAACTTTCTATACATTTTGCTGAGCGCGTAGACCGCATGTTTCGCCTAACGCACATAATTAAGGTAGCCTACGCAGGTCTCCGAGAAAAGAAAGATAAGGTATCCTTAACAACCTTCTGAACTGCAGTCGTTAGCCCATTCTTCTTTCATTTGATCCACGTGAACATGATACTTATCCCATTATGTGAGTTGCCACGCTCTACAACGGCTTCAGATGATGCTGTTGCAAATAGCTCCCAACCATGGAAAGTATTCAAATTGGTTGATTTTCCGCAAACTTTGAATGCATTTGGTTTTCATCTTGCGTTGCTTCCCTTATCTTCGTTTCAGCCACTGTCGCTCCGACAGAATCTTCCGCTCTGGATAGCCTGTTTGGCCTTGACTTCCTATCTAGCGAAGACACACAGACAGCCACTATTACACCAATCCCCTTGCAACCGATGAGCAGCCAATCAGTCCAGTTTCAGGCCACCACTCAAGTAGCCGAAACTGCCGTCAAATCGTCGGGAGTCGGTAAGTCAACATTTACCGATTCAAGTCGAACTTTCAGGCATGTCTATCTGATAGGCCAAGTTTCGCAACTGCATAACAATGTTGAGCGCGCGGCAGCACTGTAGTCTGTAAACTTTAGGACAAGTGATGATGATGTCGAAGCTTGTTATTCTTGTCAATTGAATTGCCTCTCAAAATCTTCAGTTCAACGTCCCAAGCTTTTTGTCGGGTCATGGATAGGCTGTCTTCTCTCGTCACATTAGTCTCGCTAACACCGGGTCTCGTGCTTCGCGTTTCCCTTATGAGGCGGGATAACTTTCCATCATTACTAAGAGCAGCGGCCGTTTCCATCTCCATTGCACAATGAGCTCACCGTGCTTCTCGATCTCTTTCCAGACTAGCGTACAGTTTTTTCCCTGATCTCTTCACGAATTTCGTCTTATCCGCTTCCAACCTGGATGTTTCGCGAGCATTGAGAAGTTCCACAGACTGCTGATGCAGATGCCAACAATTGGGTTCGCCACATTTATTAATAACGTCTAACGACCTTACAACGGGCAACCTTCAACTGTGTTCATTAAGCGCTTACTCCACTCTCATTCCATATTATTTTGGCTACACATTCAGAACATTTGTATCTGCTAGTTTACGGGCGTCTGTGCCCTCACAGCGTCGTCGGATCCACCGACACGCACCCAGAGATCAGCACATACATGTGCATAGTCATAGTTCATGCTCGTGTTCCCGATCGCGCGACAGTTATGCACGCATTCTCTCCAACGTTAACTTGTCCTCATGTGGTCGATTTGTGTCCTAGGCTAGCCCGAGGGTGGTTGGTACTGTCACGCCGCTGCAAACGCTTTGTCGGAATTTATCTCTCGCGAGGTATAAGCGAACATCACACAGGTGTAGCAACCGCTTACCATTATCATGGCGGATGATTACCGTTACACCTTAGCTGTAGGTGAGAAACACACTTCAACTATTGTGCCGCAATACATAAAGATACTTCACAAGAAAAAGTAGGATACTGCAAAATATAGCGTGCAAAAGCAGCGAAACACTACTTAGCAACATATGTGTCAAGAGAGACCGTGGTTGGAGAAGGAAGGTAAGCGGGATGAGGACAGACAGGGACTGACTACACAAACACCACTGAGGTCGGCTCCTAACCATGTCAGCAAGTGTACCCAACTGGACGTGTTCATCGTCCTTCGGACCCTAGCTAGGCAGTCGGGACACACTAACCGACACCAAGTTCGAAGTGAGGAACTTTTTTCCTTCTGACAAACTCAGCGCTTGGCCTCCACGCCTTTTCTTCCACCCACACCCCCAGCGCGCAAACAACGCACGTCGCGGGAGTCGGTGGGCTGGCATGCATAACATGCGGCCCAGCCATCAGAGCCCGTTGCGTGAAATGTCAGTGTTGAGCAGTTCACTAGCTCTTCTTGCACCAAATACACGAAACCGTACACGCTCATTGCTCACGCGGTGCTCCCACCAGACATGAGCTAAGCTGCGAAGGCAGCGATGATCGGACGTGACGAGCCTCTTTATGTCTGTCGACTTGATGAGCCAGCTTTCGCGACCATACAGTAGGATTGCACGGACGGCTGCATTGTAAACTCTAGCTTTCAGTACGAAAATGATGTCACGCCGGCTCCCCAACTGGCGAAGATTGGCAAAAGCGCCTCGAGCTTATGGTATGCGGTTTTTGTTCTCATCTTCAATTCAATTGGCCATGTTATAGCTGCTAAAATGCTTTAATTTCTTTACGACTTTAAGCTGATCCCCACCAAGGATCAGAGCAGGAATGGGTCCCTACCAATCTTGGAGAACTACTTTGCATTCTGATGGTGCAAAGCAGAGCCCGAAACGACTGACAGCTAATACTATTTTATCCAGTGCTACTTAACACGTTTGATATCTGTCACAGATAAGGGCACTGTCGTCGGCGTACTCTAAGTCAAGAAGTCGTTCACCTTGGAGCAGCTCCACGCCTTGCAGGTCGTGTTCATTGAACGTAGTCTCCATGACTTCCTCGATAGTGACGTTGAAAAGGAAAGGTAACAGCGAGCAACCTTGTCTCACACCGCTGGAGAGATTGAAGAGCGGCGACAGTTTGCCGAAAACCCTCATTTTGCCCGAACTATGGGAATAAAGCGCTTTGATACCGTTTACGTATGTAGCGGCCACACCTTGCCTCAGCCGACAGTCCCAAAGAGCACATAGATCCACCGAGTCGAAAGCACCTTTGATATTCAGGAACACGACTACGGTGCCTTACCGGTAAATATAGCGGTGCTCCAACAATTGACGCGATGTGAAAAGGTGATCAATACTGCTTCGATTTCGACTCGGCCCGACTTGCACTTCGCGAATCTTGCTTTCGCGGGTGCCAGCAAGTCTAAGATCGACAGAGCCGATTGAAATCAGATTGATCCCTCTGATTGCCACATTCAGAGCATGAGCCCTACAAGAAAATCGGGACGATTATCGAGCGGCTCCAGTTTCTTGGGACAGGTTCCTGCTCCCACAGCTTCACAAATAAGATGTGCAGCTCATCTACACTAGCAAGTCCTCCAAATTTGAAGGGAGCTGGAAGCAGTTTTTCTGCTCTTGCGGTCTTATTTACTTACAACAATTTGATCTCACGTTCGGCTTCTGCGCGTGAAGGCGGGTCCAAGGGGACGGCCCAGAAAGAAGGACGATCATTGAGCGAAGAAGAAGAAGAAGCTGGTAACTCTAGTTGCTTAAGCTGCTTTGCAAATTGTTCGGCCCAGCGATCCAAGCGTTTTGACAAACTGGATTGGCCGTCCACTATCGTCACGTATGGTCTTGCTAACACCAGATATCTTTCTGCCTGTTTCCTGTATCAGACGGAATAACTTCTGATCGTTACCAAGAGCAGCTGCCACTTCCGTCTCCGATGCACGGTGAGACCATCACACTTCGCGGTCTTTCTTCAGGCCAGCACGCAGTTTCGCCTTGAGGTCTTTACGAGCCTTGTGTTTGTTCCTAGCAGACGAGCGTCTATAAGTTCCAGAGACCGCAGAGACCCAGTGTCCAGTTGGCAATTATATTTGTCACATGAAGATATGCCTACTGCTTATAACATCTGATACATATGCGACCAGCGGCCTTCTACTGTGTTTAGAGAGCGCTTATTCTGCCCGGATACTAACGTACTTTTATACACATTCAGGATATCTGGCTTCGACGCATGACGAAGTAAACTGTAAAGTCGGCACAAACGAGTGCGTGGTCAGAGTGCACGCTGGTTCTCCAAATTGAGCAACACTTTTGGACATCCTCCCCAGCGATAACTGATCGTAATGTGGTCTATCTGCGTCCATAGCTGGTTTGATGCCATGTCACCCTCCGGTGGGTGCTGTGTCGGAAATTAGTCCTCGCGAGAAATAGCCGAGCATCTTCACACAGGTGTAGCAACCGCTCACCGTTATCATTACGGGAGCCTACACCGTGTTGGCCGCCCAAATGCAGCTCATCAGTGGACAGTTTTCCCATTTGAGCGTTCAGATCACCAGACAGGTTCACAATAACTGTGACGAAGGCGGTCGTTCGGATGGTGATAGAATTAGTCTTTCGCCTAATCAGCGCTACAGTTTTTTAGGCGCATAGGCGGCAGTGATAAACAGGCACTTTTTGTCTACACGCGACTTCGGAGATCTGAACTAGCCAGTCAGTCTGACGACGCACATCCGGCTGTTATTTGGAATGCAGTCAACCAGTACAGCTTCAGTCCGGGGACTCAGAGTAATGCCCACACCGACTTGACCAGTATTTGAATCTGCGTTATCTCCAGACAAATGCCACGAGATTGTGTCGTCATTGTCGCTCGTGGGGGATCGCAGGATAATCACGAAACTGGAATCTTGCAGGCGGGTTTCCGGTAAGCGGCAATCATCGATCAATAGGGTCTTTGGTGTTCGGGCAAGTACTGCCTGTTGACTAAGCTACAACAAAATGTGCACGTTGAAACCTGCCAGTCTTAACGATGATCGGTGATTCCAAAGAGAAACGGGTGAACTGACATTGTCCATTCGGTTGAACATGCTTTTGTTGACAGGACTGGCGCGACGCTCTGCGATTGCATGTGCGTCGAAACTTGAAGACAAGCGACCATTGAAGCAAAATGGGAGATGGCCAAGAATTGGGGGATTGAAAACAGGGGGGGATAAAAGTGAAATTGTTGCGGGATGTTGTAGGTGACAAAGCGCAAGAGAAGAGATAAGATGCCAGGAAGGCTTGAGCAGTAACATCCTTACCACTATCCACCCAACTCGATGCAGCAGATAGGGTGCCGTTTATTATCCTCTGCAATGGCTAGAGCATCAAGAAATCGTGCGGAGAGAAATTCCTAGAACTGTATTGCGTGGGCAGGATACGGTCATGTTATCCATACCTAAACAAGCGAACGATTAGGGTTCTAGACCATAGTCTTTGATTCGCAAACCTTACCGCAAGGCAGCGGGGTTGTGGCACTGGGCTACAGCGAGGCCATTTTATGGAGTAAGTAGGCACCCTCACTCCAACCCCCAAGCTGGAGGGCCTGGTGTCTGAGTTCGTCTAGTTTCTAACCACTGACCAATCTGGTTTGAGTGGCTCTGAAGGTGCAGAAAGAACTTCCCAGCATAACTCAGTAGACTGCTGGGGCACGCTAAGCATCGCACCATGTTTAGGTCCAGTTTCGTCGCCTGCACCGTGTTGGCTGTTCGGATGGATTACATCAGCGGACAGTTTTCCAACTTGAACGTTCGGATCATCAGTCAGCATTGCAGTATCCGCACTTCTATGACTAAGATGCTCGTTCAACTGACGGCAAATGTCATCTTTCACCTACTCAGTGCTAAGCGTAGATAGCAGGGACAAACAGCTACTCCTTGCCCACAATCACAATCGTGATCTGGAAAATTCCACTTCGGAGCGGCCTCGTAGTGTATTTTATAGATTCTTGCAAATTTCTTACCTGGAGGTTATCATCGGCAGCGAGCTCAGTGCCAGTTCGGCATATTAATTTTTGATAGTTTTCCTCCTTATCTGCCCTGGAACAACCATATTCCCTGTACCAGGGGTACCGTTTCTGTCACATGTTTCTGCCAAATAGTAACAGAGTTGAAATATCTGGTTGTTCGGAAAGTACTTTTCTTTTTTCCAAACATAAGCTTTGCTTGTGTTTTTTCGCAGCCAACTACACGTATAAGCCGCTTTTTTCTATTTTGACAGCTGATATAGCAAGGGTTGCTTGTGCGAAAGGTCGATTGGTTCTATTCAGTAGTTTTTGGTTGTTGCCATTTCAGATATGGGAACTGAAACAGCATTTTCTCATATGTTACTTTTGTACTATCTTAAAAAGGCTGTTCGAGCAAGAAAAATAGATAATCGGATGTGTATGGAGATGTATTGACAGAATGCTAGTGCAAAAACTGGTACCTGTTTTTCGTACCTAGTGAAAATCCCATGTTTCCTCTTCCACTTGTTTGCTAGAGCTGGAAGATCTACTTTCCCTAGACCCACTGTTGTGTGGTGCGGATAAAGACACAGTCCCCGAGCCTTTACCACATACGAACACTCCAATCTCTATCTTACCTGCGGGTATGTTTATTCTTTACTGAGTTTCCCATATTCTTACTTCTTCCATCATGTGTTTTAATTAGGCGAATGTGGCTAGCCGTTGCCTCTTTCGGTAGTTTTATGTGAGTGCATTCGCTAATTTCGTCAACCGCCTTGTTGGGCCCCTCTTAGGTTTGGTGCTCACTAGTTGAACATGGTTGGTTTCTTGGCTATCATCCAAGTACATTGATCGGACCACTTAGTTGGACTGTGCCTTGCATCACCGAGGAATATACTGTTTGTTTATTTGTGTACGTAGCGGGGGCACATGCTGGTCTAAGTGTTTTGCTGTTTTTATTAAAATTCGAAATGCTATCTTCCTGTCACCATGCGGCCATGGTTTCAGGATACAGCTCAGTTAGAACTTGGGGCAGTGTGTTTACCTTCTTACTTAAGGCATCAGGTTTAGTCGGGCCGTCGCGTTTCCCAAGACGTTTATCGTGTATACATGCCTAATGGAAATCGAGCAAATGCCCAGGTTGGTACTAGGTGTGGATCATTCACTCCTCTCTTTTGACTGTCTGTTAAGACTGCGATAGCTAGCAGACCTTCCATTGAGTACATCTTTGGGCCTTCTACCGAATCCGGATTGTTGTGACGTTCAAACTAGCATACAGTCGCCTTTGCAACGCGAACCAGTTGCGGTGACCTCCACGGGGTCATCTGAAATCACTGCAGGACGATGGGACATGCGCGGCTTGTTAGCCAGCCCCTGGCCTTAAGGATCACAACTCTACCTATTAATCCCGAGGTCATGGATTCGAGCCTGCGTAGGGGATTGGGCGACCCTCGCAGTATCCTTAACCCACGCGCGACTGGTGATGGTTGCGCGGCATCAACGCGTACTGCTGTTGCCTTCTCGACCTGATAATCTCCGTCAGCAGCACCACTCCGGTTAATTTTCATCAAAACTGGTCACTTATGTCTCTTACTTGGTAATCATTTGCATTAAATGATTTAACGCGATGTGATCCCAACACTTCCGTAAGATTCCGCACATGGCATCCATGCGTGTTTTGTTTCGTGTCGCCTTCACCATTTGAACATTAGCGATTACCCACCTGTTGAAATCCTCCACGTTTCCACTCGTGATCGCGATACTTCCACATGCTTTGGTTTCTTTGCTTGTTTTTAGACGACGGGAGTACCAGTATGGTGGTTATGGTAATTGGTTATCTAGCTTGGAGTGGCTAGTGTGTATACTCGGATCGTTACTCATGTCAGCATTGCGTGCGCGACGATGAAACTCGCTAGGGAGTACTAGACAGCAATGCCTAGATTAGTTCCATAAACCGGAAATAGCACCGAAAAACTCGTTGATTTTAGCACGTACCATGTAGAGCTTTTCTTTGGTTGTTGTTACTCTCGAAATTGGTTATCACTGATTTCGTAGCGGGGTATGAAGTCACTTCTCACTAGGCTTGGTTCTGCTGACTCGTCCTACCCTCCAGATTTCTGGAGTCCATCCACTTGTTATGTTTGCTATCGTTTCTTACCTCGCTTCGGAAACTTTGCATAAATAAAAACGCTGCGGAACTCTATGTGAAGTTGAGTTGATTTACCATATGGCAAGCAAAACGACGAGAAAGCTGTCTCTCACAGAACACGTGCGTTATAACCGACCGTTTGTGGCAAGAGAATTGTGAAAGGGGCATTCGACTTTGTGCTTCAAAGTTTGCCTTCCTTATTTATTCCTACATTATGTTCCTTCTCATTCCTCATTCGTAGGATCATGCATAAGATTATGGTGGAGTTACGGTGATGCACCACTACGTGGTGTTTATGCACCCCTGCTGATTATCTGTGTGTGTATGTAAATATTGCCCAAGTACATCCCAACCTGGTCGTCAAGTGCTGTACTGGTCCAGTCGCTGAGTGGTCCACTTTCACCAGTCGAGTCCCGTGTAATCACTTCATCAACCCACACAGAAGACAAGTCGTTATGTCAGCATTCCGATTTTGCTCACTTCACTGACATCGCAGTACTTGGATGAAAACATGCGCATTTCAATATCCAACAGTCCTAGTGGTGATCAGTGCTTAATACGCAATTGAAGCTAAAGTAATCTAGCCAATTATTTCTGTTGTTTCTGAAGCTTATCTCTATTACCGGGAATCCTACATATTTAATAGCATATATTTTTCATACATATATTGCAATTGAAATGTTGACATTCCGCGATTGACGTTAGTTGCCCTCCTTGATCCTGTTTACTGGTACTCTATCTTGCGATGTACTTTCCGCTATCTTTTCACAATTAGCCTCATAAACTTTGCCAAACACACACATACGTTTATTGAACAATTTGGTTCACTCTCTGCCTTTGCTCGACTTCTGCTCTGCCGTCATTTACATTTCGTATATTTTAGGTTTGAAACCGGTGCAGTCTACCGTTCCCATTCGTCCGGCAGCAGTGGTAAGTGCACAGAACAAAAACCCGCTCGATTCGTTGGACAGCACATTGATCAGTCTTGCTTCCAGTTTGGGAGCTCAAAGTGGCTGGGGATCCAGCGTGCAAAAAGTGAGTTTGTTAGTTACTCCAACTCTCTCACAAGGGTGTGGCTGAATTCCATTATTAACACCGACACCCTTCAATGCATATATTCTGTGCCCCAATATTATACTGTTTATAGGGATGAGCTGGTCCATACACTGCACGTGGCTTTCACCGCCTGTTTCGGTAACGTGCGGTTGTTGGTTGCCGCGTTTCTATCTCCGTCCCACAGGGTAAGACAAGTCGCTTCTACTGGTGCGTCACTACCGTGTCCTCCATCCAAGGACACTTTCTAAGCGGCGAATGCTTTGTTCGTTTTGCTGATCTATCTAGCAGCACACGATGACTTTCTGTGCAATGCTCCCCACCACCAATCGCACAACCCCTTACTCGGCGACACTGACAAGAATTCTGTTTGTCCACGTTAACATTAATTACGTTATCATGGTATCTGCGCGCACCCATATGTGATTGAATTCGATAGTTATTTGCCTTCGAACAGAATCAATACAACTACATGAACGCCTGGATTACTTAGTGTCACAAGGCTCAACTAAAACACGATTAATATGGAATTTCGTCCCCATTTCAGACCGTCGATTGTCTCTAACTATTTTAGCTACGGATTCCCTTTGATGCTGTGTCTAACCTCACTCTACGGCACTGCACTGAACTGTAAGTGCTCTGGAATGGTATGCCAGTCGAAAGCTCCCAAACCGCTCTGAACATCGTTGTAGCGGGTCAGTATCGCTGTAGCAAGCCAACAGGTAAGATGTCATCGTGCGTAGCCTAGATTGTCATTTCCTCTAATCTTTGCCATCTCATTTCGTCTTCAGTATCGTTAGACTAGCCATCTCTCATGAGTGTTTTCGCGCCGTCTATCCAGTCACCTCACGCTCGGTCTTCCATCAGCATCTTTGACAATGCCGTCCAGCTCGGCAAGAGGTGTAACACAGGCATACCCTCCATCCAGCTCCGACACTTACTAGGTGGTTGAGATGTAACTGCCCATCTGCCTACGAAATATCACAAATATGTAGTCTGTGTCCGGTTGAAGCTTCCTAGGGCTTCCGTGTTCAGGGCGTACATGAGTCAGTCCAATCAGTTGGATTGTGCCTCATACCGTCGAGGAATAAAACGTTTATTTAGTTATTAGATCGAGCGGCCAGAAAAGCAAAAGCGATGCTTCATAGGCGGTTGCACAGTTACATCTCAACCAGCTAATAAGTGTCGGAGCTGGATGGTGGGTGTGCCTGTGTTACATTCGTGCCAATCTGGATGGCATTGTCACAACTGCTAATGGAGGACCGAGCCTAAAGTGACTGGATAGGCTTGAAAACACCCATGAGAGGTGGCTACTCTAACGATACTGAAGACCAGCTGGGAAGGCAAAGAGAAGAGGAAACGACAATCACAATCTAGGCTTCCCTCTACGGCATCTTACCTGTTGACTTTCTACAACTATATCGACGCGCTACAATCGTTGACGCCCCGAGTGCTAGCGTCCTACATTTTAAGCTACACATGCTAAAAGCCGACGCTTCTGACAAGCTTTTGGCTTTGGATAGTAGAATCGACATGGAGAGAAGAAGCATACGTGCTGTGCTTCAGAGGGGCAGTTGGCTGGCTCAAACTTCTAGATATCCTCCGCTATCGACCAATACCTCGGTTAATGGTTCCAGCACCGACTCGCCGAAAATATCACATGTGAAATAAGACACGGAGACTAATCGGCCTAGAGTACTGGTCGCATTAAGCATCCTGCTTTCCTAGCCTATTACCCTACTTAGAAACATTTTCATTGCACAGACGTAGTGTATGTGTGCACCCGCTAATTACCAACTGCCGCTATCAAATTCCCTTCCTGGTCACTTCCAGTTGGAACGTAACTTTTCAACCGTAGTCCTTAATCATGTTCAGCCCCCATTACGGACCTGCTCTTGCGAATCACTTCCCGGTTGCTGTTTCCATGGGGCCACTTATTTCTCACTAGGTTTGTTCACTTTGTTCCTTGCATAACAACACCAACGGTCGGATATGGCACATTTGCGCAGTCAGTGACGCTCATACATTTGGTCTCTTGTCTCTAACTGCTACTATTCCACCCAGATTAACTTTCCTCGCTTCTTTCTTATCTCTCTTTTCTTTATATTTTGTTTACGTTTTCTCATCATTGCTCTGTGTCGCTATCCTGGCGACGAGAGTCGTAGCAACTAGGTACATCACAATTCGGTGCCCTGACCATAGTTGTTTAGCCGAACTGAACTCTCCCTTCTTTTGTCGCTTGCTTCTAACTAGCAGCTTTCCATCCCCACATTTTCGCTCTTTTTTATTTTACCTCGCCTCCTGTCTCTTATCAACTGTATCCACCACACTGCAGTGATCAGATCATCTCTACTTGAACTGCTGTCGTTTTCACTAGTTGCGCTTTGTAACCCAATCCCAACCATTACGGTGTACGCTACTCTGCGGGCGCGACTTTCTTACTATACATGATACTGCCCCTCAGATCCATATTTCGTTTGCATTTGTGCGTCCACTTAGGCTTCAATTTCTTTCTCCTTTCAGAGGCGCCCGCTAGCCGATTCTTCTTGATTCATTGTAAGTTTCTACTTATTTACTTCGAACAACGACCCACATCTCGAACTGACGTTCATTTTCTCTTTTCCATCGTTGATTTACCCAGTGTGACACATAAGTGATCGATGGTAATGTACTTTTAGATACAATCATGCGATCTTGTGACAACAGGCACGACGCGACCCATTGACCAAGTTTCACGCAATTTCGCAGTACTGCTGAGATGCTCGATGTAGTTGATCCATTTATCTACACTGGCAAATGTATCAGCAGCGAATGTCGGGTCGTTGCTGAAGTTAATTCGCGTTTTGCCGAACCCAAAATTATCTTCTTAAATATGCGATATATGTGGCTTTAAAACGGGTTCCGTCTTTTTGTAAGGCCATGTATACACGGCACAGTAATGGAGTGAGTTTTGGACCCTACGGTCTGAGAATCTTAAGCGCTTTCTGGTCTTTGATTTTCGTTGACTACGGAGAACCTTTTGTGTCGGATAGCACCAGGATATCCGCAACGATGATAAGCGTGGGCGGATACTAGGCTATAATCGTATTATTTCCTTAGAATAACTAATAACATCTGGCGTAGACTCATGCTGTCGTCATTATCGAATTGCCTGTTTAAGATGTATCTGATGCTTACTTACCTACGGAGTAAGGGCTGATTGTGACGCGGGACGGTGAGAGACACAAGGAAATTGTCACCACTATCGCCTTCTTTGCACTACAGCCATCTGTTTGTGGTCGTGGGTTGTTGACATGGTGTATACGCCTTGCGCCTAAATGTTTGATTTAGACATTATTGTTTTACACTCCGTCCCCCGTTTTCTTCCTCTTCGTTCCTTTGGACATTATGGTTGTATGGTAACGAAGTGCCAATTGAAATAGTCAATATACTGTTGTTGATGATGGTGACGATACGGCAATGCACTATCGCAAAGTTGTCATCACCAGCAGTACATCAGCCATTTCAAGTGACACTTTACTACCATACAACCACAGTGACCTACAGAGCTAAGAATGATAGGAGAGAGAAAAGGGGACCTAGCATAAAACCTTACTACCTTGAGCAAATATCCAGGGTCAAGGCGCCTACACCTTGTCTGAAACATATCGTCATAAATAGCTGACTATCGTGCGAAAATAAGGCGGCGTCAGCGAGACAGTTTGCTTGCGGTTTTCGCTACCGCGCGTCATAATCGGCCATTTCCCCTTAGATAACAAACAGGCCGTCCGATTACGAGACGATAGCAGACGCGTCACTGGTGCCGACTGTGAGTCCTGTCGTCTAATGTCTCAAGCATGGACTCCAACCGGGATAGCGAGACAGATCGACAGCACCTAGTTGGGTCGTCAATTGACCTCAATACTGCTTGCCAACTTAACTTTTCCTCATCTCTAGCTTTGTGCAATCCTACTTCTGACAAACAAAACAAGACCCTATTTGGTAAGCAGCGACCGGGCATACATAGTACGTGCTCAAACCAGCGCAACTTATTCAATGCTATCTGTTGCTTTAAGCAACTAATTTGAGCATCACTGTCTGGCACTCGCCTGCACACATCATCATTGCGGACACGCTAGTGCCACGACACCAGCAATGCTTCGCAGGTAGCAATCATCAAAGAATTGAAGGCGCCACGGGTCCTCAGATTGAAGCGACCATTTCTCACTACTGTGTAATAGGACGGCCCCCGCTGTGGCCTTGTAAACACGACCTTATCGGCCGGTGGCCGAGTGGTCTGCGCGACTGACTTGCAACCGCTTAGTATCCGCATAGGAGCGGGCGTCTTCGCGGTATACTCAGCTTACGCGCGACTGCTGGTGGTCGTATGGTAGCGAACCGCCCTTAATGCGTACAGCTGGCAAATTATTTTCTTATTAAACACAGCCTTTCAAACGGAGGGAAACCTTTTTGTCGCTAAAGATGTCAGATTCAAGAAGGCAGTTCTAACTGTTACCATACCTGAAATGGCTTCAATGCTCCTGCGCTCACCGTTACTGATGCAACTGTCAAGGTAAGTGAAGTGATCAGCTTTCTCTAGTTCCTCACTATCAATGGTCACATATATATCAAGTGGCTGGTGGTCTTGTAACAACACTGCACTAAGAAGGTACGAAGCGCATACCACATGATGGGACCATTCTAGAGATGTTGTTCAGGGTTATCTGGACCGCCCCGACGTCGTTAAACAGCAAGACAATACCGCCTGCATAATCAAGCGCAACTAGCTTTTTCCAGGCAGCACCTTAACATCTGCATAGTGAGGCTCTACACTGAGGCTCTTCATGTTGCAGTCCACGACGAAGTTAAAGCAAATTGAGGAAATTGGACAACCCTGACGAACGCCACATGTTGTCGGGTAGACATCCGATAAGTCACCGTAGACTCTGATACGGCCTGTTATGTTTGAGTACATGGCACGTAGTGTTAACGTATCGGTTGGCAAATATGCCGATCAACTGAATCGAACGCACCCTTGAAGTTGAGGAACATAGCTATTATCAGGCTGCGGTTTGTGTGGTGCTGCTCTAGCACCTGCTGCAGGGTGAATAGTTAGTCTACACAGCCCCGTCCTGCTTAGAAACCTGCCTGCTCTTACCTACTCCGAGATTCCCGTTCCACCAAAAGACGACGAACGAGTATTGAGGCTAGTACTTTCGTCACCACCGTCGTTACGCTAATACTCCTGTGGGTAGCACAGTCGGCGCGACTGCCATTCGTGTATATTGCTACTACAAACGTTCACTGCAGTTAGCTGGGATGTCCTCTCCCTTCCTGACCTATTCGAACAGGGGTCAGTGCTTTGCAGAGGACTCCACTCTATCCTTGAATGGTGCAGGGGGAAGGAATCCGGGCGAACAGCTCAATGATGATTGAGGGCTGTGACCCCGTTTTGGACCTCCGCCTCTGATCGGTCATCAAAACTAACCGACCAGGAATCAGACTGCGCCACGCGCGTAGGAATAGATTCAGGAGCAGGGGGCAGCTGAACTTGTTTCGGAAGTGCTCCGCCCACCGAGTCATTCGTCGGTCTTTGTTGTGTATCAAGGTGCTTGCACTGTCTCCGATTGTCTCACTGACGCCTGGTTTCTTGTGACCATTGATGCGGATCAGCTAGAAGAGCTTACGGTATCTGTCTACCGCTGCTACCTCCTCCATTTCCTTAGCCCTGTTGGTTCCACAGGCTTCCTTGTCAGCATACAACCTTCGCTTTAGTTCGCGCCTCATAGTCCATCTGGTTACATTATGCTAAGAACCACCTGAGTGTTTTCTCCTGGATTCTAACATGTTCACCGACCTCTAGCATATTCAGTAACTGAAGCGATGACGATTGATAGTGCCGCAAGCGGAGGCTCCCGCGTCGTTCATTATGGCAGAGGTTCTCTTCCACTGAGTCCCAATGTTATTAAGACGCGAAAGAGCGAACGTTCCGTACTCAGTGCGTTCTGGTAGGTTTGCCTGACTGGGGACTGCGATAACTTCTCAGTTGCCAATCGCTGGATGCGCTCCCAGTTAAGTTCATGGAAAATCTACAACGTACCAAGGCGTGATCAGTGTGGACGCAGATATTCCAGAACGAGCGCCAATCCAGGATGGAACCACCTCACCTGTAACTTATGGAAAAGTGATCTATTTGAGTGCATCGCTTACTAGCTATAGGTGGAGGCCATGTGGCATTTGGTCGCTCCTTGTGTCTAAAAGCGGTGCTGTTGTGCACATTTGTAGCAGACGCTAGTCGTTTTCTGTCCGGTCGGAGTTAGGCCCATACGTATTACCTAGCTAAGCCTCTGAAGAACTCAGACGACCTACTTTTGCGTTCATATCCCATGCAAGTATTATGATGTCTGAACTCGTACCACTGCCATCTCACTTCCAATGCTTATCCTGGAGGACCTTGAGACCGGTTGTATCGACCACATATTTACTCTTCACCAAATTTTAGAGGTGGCATACAAACGGCCAACTAGGGTAGTTTTCCTTGACTTGAACGTCGCCCTCCACTCTTTTGATCACGCCAGCTTGTGGCACTGGCTTTCCAGGAAGGCTGTGTTAGCTGCATTCCTTCCCATCATGCAGTCTCCTTACCGGGACTCCCGAGGCCGTGTAAGTGTCTAAGGGAAACCGGCTCCTGATTTCCCCACGACAAGTGATGTTTGCCAGGGTTGGCCTATATATCATTTCCTCTTCAACTTTCGAAATGATCAGGAGTGACTACCGGAGTGGAAGTTCTATCAGGTGATCGACTGACAAGCCTGGCGTATGCAGATGACGTAGCTCATTTTGGGTCTGACGAGGTGGCTATGCAAACATTACTGGATAGACTGACGCGTAGCGCTACACGCTTCAGCATATGCTTTGTACCTTCAAAGTGTAGAGTAGCGTTGCAGTACTGGACCGATACGCCATCGGTTCTGGTTATCTCTGAACAGCCCCTGGAAACGGTGGATCGGTTCACTAACCTTTATAACTGTGTCACTGCTGGTGGTCACATCACTGATGAGGTTGCTTCGGGTATCAGCAATTCTCGTGTGACCTTCCATAGATTCAACCATCTATAGAGACGACGCGATATTAGCCTGTCAGTGAATTGTAGGGTGTATAACGCTGCGGTAAGGCCGGTCTTACTGTACAGACCAGAGACCCGGTCATTTCGCAGCGAAGACATTTAACATTTGGCCGTGTTTGACTACTAGTGCTTGCGGAGTATTGGTCACGTCTGGTGGGAACACCGTGTGGGCAATGGAGCGGTGCGCCAGTTGGTTTTTAACAAAAAGCCTTCTGGTGCATTACTCGAGTGTTTACCGAATCTTAATCGCTTACGTTGGCTGGGTTTTGTCCTCCGTTGACAGGCTTAGTGTGCATTATACGTTGGGACTGCACCATGTTGGGCGAAACCACGAGGTGGTCATTCCATGAGGTGACATAGTGGTATGAAGAATCTGACTGGGAGACATGGTCAGGCTGCTGGGTGCCGTCTTCGTGGATGACAGCTTCGGTATGGACCACACCAATGGTTGGAGACCGCGTCAGACACGGCGCAGTCAGAGTCAGTGGCGTCCCTGCATTCGACTTCTTTCACCTGGTTGTTAATTTTCCTTCCTTTCTGGTTAGTTTAACGCATTTCCTTCTTGCTTGCATTCGACTCCACTATCTTGCCGTTGTTATTTATTGTTATTCTTCTGCTGTGCGTCGTGGCAACTGGATCCACTGCACTTCGGTTGTCGGATCATAGTTGTTCAACTGAACTGAACTGACCAACCTGGTAGCAGTGGTTCTCAGTTGACCCGGGGAGCACTACCTAGTATATCTTAATGGTTTGAAGAGGTACGCAAACCGTCGCACTAGATTAAGTTCCAGTCTCGTTGCTGATCTGTAGTTCTCCTCCGTTTTGTACACCAGTCTTAAGTGATCTTTAGATGATCGGGTCAGAGTGGGTGACCCGATGGTTATATTCACCACACATAAACTATACCCCCCCCCCTAATCCATCCGCGAGGGTTGTAATGATGCTGATCTCACAGTCTTTTACTTAAGCACTTCCTATTTTCACTGAGATCTCAGTTTATGAACCTCTGTGCAAATGACACTGTGCTTACCAAACAATGTGTCACACAAGCGGTAACTGGGTTTACGAAGTGCGTTACTGTCGCCGCAGGCGCTTACGTTCCTTTCTCAGAAGATTGCTGCCGTCCTCCTAATACCAAGCAGCAGTTGGTCACTGAAATGCCAAGCCTCTAGAGCTCACCTGCATTTGGCCGTGGTGGTAGGTGTACCACTTAATGCCTGAGTTGTTCTCCAGTGTCCGAATTTCTGCATGCTCGGTCCTATGCAGATCTCTGTGAAGTTTACCTTCTGCATTCAGGATCCTAATCTACTCTTCACTGCCTCATGAGACAGATCGTCGAACCAAATGCTGGTATGCCACCTAGGAATAGCCCCTCTCCATACATTGGCATGAGAAAGTCTCTTCCACCCAATTCCCCTGATTTCCCTTTACCTCCCTTAGGTGTTCCCTTAGGCGACATAACCAGCGAGAGTTAGCGCTGGACCATACCAATTAAGCTATATGTGCGCCTAATTTGTTTTCTAGATATACAGGGACACTTTACACTGATAGATTTAGTGTTTGAGCAGTTTCTACCTTCCACTCTATCTTGGAGTTGACAAGCAAGACGGTTGACAGTGGATGTGTTCTTCTGTTTCATAGCGGTAGAGCGTCAAAGTCTAGGCGGAAAGACTCGACCCGCTCTTCTTGAATTCATTCCCGTCAATAAACCCCAATGTGCGATTCGATTTATGGGCATGTGCGCAGTTACGCCCCAGGAAGCGGTACTTTTTTATTGTTTCGGTGTGCTGTTCCCATCAGCTGCACCTCCGAGACAGTCGATGTTGACTTCTATTGGCGTCTCCCAACATAGTTATAACCAGAAGTACAGAAACCGTGCTGGTTACGGATATCATAACTGGTCAAGTGGATGGAATAGCAGCTGAAGAGCGACATTTGGAAAGTCACTTCAAAGTTGGCGTACATGGAATTCTCCATGTAGGATCCATCACGATTCTGACATTAGCAACATTGCATTATACAATGCGCGTTCGCATTGTGCACCTGGTGCTCATCAAACGCACTAATGGTCTGGTGGCAAATTGACTGTTTTTTCATTCACTGCCCACGGTTGGCATGTTTGTCAGTCGATACATAACACTACCTGGCCATCCATTAGTGTGGACGCACGTAGGACACTCTATTGGCTCCCACGAATCACCACACCTCTCTCTCAATCTGTTCCAAAACTTTAGCTTTCGCAGAAAGCGAAGCAGATGGGCCAAACGTTGACTGTTGTCATCTCCATTGCACCGCGAAGTTAGTCACCTGTTCGCCTACTTTCAGCTGTCTGGATATTCTACGATTTGTGAATCGCAAAAGATGGACACTTTGGGCATTTCATACACTGCATTCGCAATATCCTGCAAAGGCGTTTAGCCAACAGACTTCACATACATCGGGAGCTTTGGTAGATGATGATAGCGGGAAATATTGGAAAAGAGCACTGCTCCGACTTTTTCTGCACACAATTCCAAGATGTCATTCATGAGCTGTACCATATATGAGAATTATAAGCAAATGACTCGCTTTTAGATCGGTGCGACGAACTCCCCGACGACTAATTCAGGCAGTCCATTTTTATTGCGCTTGTTTGGAATATTTTTAATTCAACTCATAGTTTCCTTTCGAATTAGCCCCCTGATCCGATGACTTCTCTTCGTTATTGTTGAAACTCGATGACTGATCACTGGTTGTTTCAGTGCCTTCAAATAGATGAGTCTTGGCTGTCATTTCATCACTATTTGTGTCATGCACATGCAATCGAAGCATCATCCCCACTGCGTCCGCCACCAAACCGCTCACAAGTATCATACTACAGCAACCGCTGGCGGTGAAAACAACACAATGCGGGTTGTATTTCACCCAGACACAGGAACTTGTTCTCACATTTATACTTTGTCTGTTGATAGGACAGTGCCATCAGCGCATACGGTCTTTCATACTGGTTTCCATATGTATAATGATAATATTTTTATCTGATCGCTCGCTTGCTACACTTTGCTCCAGCCTTTAGTTGGCATGCCCTCAGTAGGCTTAGCGTGCTCTCTCTGCCCGTTGGCGCGCTATTTCGAAAGTGCTCTTTTTGAACACGGTAATACTTCTTGTTGTCATTGCTGATTAGTCCATCAAGTTTTTTTGAGATTTTATCACTATTACGCTTCTGCAGCCTATGTTGATCCACGGGCAGCTCACTCACCAGTCCATTGGGTCAACTGTGATACATCGGAGTAGAGTTTTTTTTCTCTTCTCTCAAACTTTGTGATCGAACGGATCACAACTTCCGTAGGCTATCCTTTGCTCCTACCGATTACACGTTCAGCCAAGTAATTAACCCGATAGAATTCGAGCACGCAGGCTATACGGAATCGCTAAACTCTCTCTTAGCCCAAGTGCAGGCGCTGTAATGTGGAACCTCGCCAAACGTTGCGCACCCTTTCCCAGTAGGTTTGTGCTCCGGGGTAAGGTCGACGCAACTGCGGTTTTCCAAATTAGCTATCAACCACTTGAATTGGTGCGTCGGGTCAGTAGTCCTATCCTTTATACCGTTTTGGTTACTCAGTCCTCTAACGATGAATGTGCGCGCGTCCTTCAAACCATCGTGACATCTCACGGGAGTAAATTACTCAGTGTGCCGCATGACCGGTGTCATTACCTGGAATGCGGGCGCTGCACACGGAAGCATGACGATATTTTTGATTTTACACGGAACCTTATGTGAAATAGGTTGGTTAAGTCACTCTTCTAACACTTATTGATCGTCTACTCAGGTACATACGCACAAAGGTTACCGGTCATGCACTTTTGACTAACATCAGCAGAGAATAATGATTTACATGTTTCCGCTCCATCTGCTCAAACGCTAGCAAGCTGCTCTATTCTGTTTGAGGCGGAACAACTCAGACGATAGTCCACTTGTTCCTTTCAGATAAACGCGATTTTTTTCGTATCTTAACATTGGACAGTTGTATTGTCTTCTCCTTCTAGTAGCCTGTATCGCATGTTGTCTTGCAGTCGATCGATTTAATCCCATAATAAAAGCTGAGTCCACTAAGTTTCCGTATTTTTCTCTTATCATTGTACGTACACTATAGCAACTGCATTTTCCGCTGTGATTCCAGTGGCGAAGGGGACATGTGAAAATTATTCGCGGTCGCATGACATCGCCATTCGCTAATCTGTGTCATTGCTGTTTTTCTTCACCGTTACCCTACACCACTGTTAGAACTCACTCCTGTGCCACTGTGCGTGGGTCACCACTATGACCGGCCGACATATATGATACCCGTGTAACGTTCACCGGTCGAAAGGTGAATGAGGCGTAGCCAATGACCCCAAAATTAGAACAAATCTGGTTCCCAATGTTCACAGTACTATTAAAACATATACTGTTAACTAAATTAGACATCCCCCAATTGCTCTGGATCCCGATGGATTACCGTCAACAGCTATTGCAGTTAAACAGACGGAAAGGAAAGCACTGTGGAAAACACTACTCAAGGCAGACAGCCAGAGGACAAGTGATCACACGATAGACATGTGAAACTATTAATAAAATCGCAGACCAATCATTGACGACCCAGTCACTGAATGAGGAAAGCGTTCGAGGTTGACGGACGGCACACACATACAAGTCAGCAAGGTGTATCCTTTTGAAGTGGGTGGTAACTGTGTTACAATGGCATGAAGATAGCAAAATCAGACCTAGTGCATGCGTCATCTGTTACAGTTGAGGCAAAATTAACATGTGGTTAAATGTCGTCATTGGGAGAATGAAGGTGTAAATCAGGCATAAACCATTGGACAATGGTAGGGGCGTATGGAGGATTGAACAGTTAATAAGGCAAGCACATGGGAAGATGGCAGTATAATGTGACCAAATTATCCGACTTTCTTGGGGACATGGTTCGGTGCACAAGCGCTCCTAGCAACCTGGGTGACATGTCATTTGAATGAACCGACAAGTACCGTCCAAGTGCCAATCGAGAGCACCTTTCAAAGGAATCTTCCGATCATTGCGAAAACTCCGCTACAACCCGTATGCATAAATACGATATATATATATATATATATATATATATATATATATATATATATATATATATATATATATATATATATATATATATATATATATAGTGGACCCAATGTCTTACCCAATCTACTAAGTTTGTTATTCTTCATGCTGACTCCCCAGCTTTATTCACTTGCAGCTATCCGGTGGCCAAAGGAATTCAAATAGACTCGGGCTCCACTGAACTTGCCTCTACCGAAGAATTGCTTCATATACTTATCCACATGTTTTGCCCTTGACATCAGTTATTTTCTCTTACCTCCATCTACTTCTGAATCGCGCCAAACTCCTTGTCTGTGCATTTTATTCCTTTGCTGAGCGCTCCAAGTTTCACATATACGGTTTTGAGCTTTCGTTTCCGCTATATTTTTGGTTTTAACAAGGTCATACGCATTTAGCGGGTTGTCCGTCGCCTTGGTTTCTCCATCCCTCTTCTTAATAGCATCCTTTGCTAAACTTTATCATTGACTTCACGTTACGCATTTACAAAGTGACAGTCATGTACCGCGCCTTTTCAGAACGTATTTTCTTTCATTTTATTCAGTATATCTGGACTTTGCTGCTCTTTGGGGTTATATATATTCACGTTATACATCGAAATATACTCCTTTAGCGTGCTTCGCGTTGTCGAGAATAAAAAGTTTATTTACTTGTCATCATGTTTCATTAGTCTGAATAAATTAACTCACGCCGTGCTTGCTTTTCACGGTTTTCTTCCTCCTCCGCTAACTAGGGTAATACAAGTGATGAACGCAAACTGTTCGCAGTTGCCTGACGATGAGAGCTGGATAAAGATCCAACACAAATTGCACGAAAACTTGCGGTTTCCTTGTGCTTAATGCAATCACCGTTTTCACTTATATCTTCAGCGGCTAATGGATGAATCTTCTTTGACTACAGCTTGTGGCGCGGCGCTTCTCATGCTTAGCATCGATAGCAGGAGAATACTGTACTTATTCCGTAGTTAACCTTTGACACCGGGTCTTGCGGTGCTGTACTAAATCAATCTATTAAACTCGTATCGATCCATATAGGCGAATCAAGGAAATTGCGTTCACTAAACACGACTTACGAGGTGTGGACCTTCTCCCAAGTGCTCGACATTTCGACTCGGACTACGACGACGACACCTCCATAATCTGTGACAGCTCACAAACGTGCCAAGCAGCACTGGCTATTAGTCGTCTCCGGCTACGATTTGCGCCGTCGAAATGCAGTCCTCTAAGAGTAACAGGGTCACACCCCTGCGCTGACGCTGTGGTGATCGGTTAGAACTCGTCCAGAAATTCATTTACTTAGGCAGCTATATTAAGCCATGTTGAATAGAATGAGAACACGAACCGTATAGCCAAAGTCCGAAGTGATTTTGCTACTTTTCGCCACCTGTGATGCCAGCGTAACATTACTGGCTACTTAAATGGCAGAGCAGACACTGCAGCTCTCAGTTCAGCTATCCTGTATGGTTGTGAAACCTGGCTGGACGGGCACTACAGGCTAGCCACAATCGAATATCGCTGCCTTCGAAATGTGGATCCTGTCCCGTGGGAAGAGCGACTAAACAAAGAGCATGTTAAGCGTGTGGTATTTGATAAAGAGAGAGAGCGTGTGAAGAGCTACACCACGCACCAAGTTCCGAATGATAAGCAAAAAGGCTAGGTTAAGCTATTCATACGTGTCCCCACCCACTTCCGCAGTGTGTTATCGGAGTTTGTACCATGTTGGATGATGCCGCATTGTCACCAACCGCTAACACTAAAGGTAGAGAAAGTAGCAGATTTTGCGACATTCGAGTGATTTCTAGACTTTCAGATTAACGATAAACGCTAAACAACAGTATGCTAACGTGCCATGTCTTTACTACTGGTGATACATTTTCCATGAGGGATCATTTTTGAGACCAATTTTCCATCTTGTGGGTCTTTTAAAGTTATGCTTTATATCCCATCATACACTACTGAACTATTAAAAGGCATACGCAGTTGACCCAGCTGCTCACTGCCGTTAGCGTATGCCATCTTGAAGCTTTCCTCAGTTGTGAGTTTCCGTTCATTTATTCAATTTATTATCGAAGTCCCGGGAAACATTACACTTGGTTACTATGACTCGCATCCGCGTTCTCTTAAACCTGAGGAACTGCGAAGCAACTTCAAAGGGATACGAGTCTTTGTATCAGGTGCGAAAAGCGGTCAGCTTTAGTTTTATTTATGTAGCACTACGGTCGGGCGCAGAGACGCCACTATTCACTCTACCGCTGTACCCGTGGACGACGCGCACGAACCCGTGTGCTCGCACAGCCAACGTTCGAGACTCGTTCTGCCGCTCCATCTGCTGGCTACCCTCTGTCATCACTCAACCAAGTTCAGTACGGTGCTCAGTGAACATGTGAAGCATAAAATGCGTTTCACTCAGGTGCTAGGGGGTTCGTTGCCGAACTCTAACTGGCAAACCACAAGGTTAGCCACACACTGGCCTCAGTTGGAACGAACTATACTGAGCAGCTGTTGCGTATGAGATGCCATCTCCACCGTAGTTAAGTAGTCAAGTCATATCCGTTTCTTAAGGTCCATGGCACACAGGACTCGTAGCTGATGCACATACAGTAAAATATCCGTAAGTTGATCAAGCAAGGGACTGTGCTAAAGTAGTCGACATAAAGTGGTCCGGATCCATAAGGTTTACATAGCGAATGTTCAAACGATAAACGTTCAACTCAGAGAGATGTTTTACTGTAGCAGTGTTCAACACATTACAGTGTGATACACGATGTACATGAACGATACGCTGACTTCCCGCTTTTTCATAGTTAATTGAACGTTTGGAAGTCCGGTTGTGCACTCATTAGATGGCATTGATCCACCAAAATGCGCAAACTAATCAAAGGGATTACTATTTCTGAGATTCCATCGCCTACAGGCCAAACCGAGCAGCAGTGTTCCGCGATTTTAAAGTGTAGTGCACACAAAGCTTGCGGTTATCTGTCTCTTCTGCTATTCGATAGCGGTTAGATCCAAACCGAGAAAGCCGCTTCTCCACAGAATTCCAGGGGTCGGCGTCTGTCACGATCCTTTCGGTTAAACGCTGCTTAAGGGAGGCAAACTCGAGTAAACGGTTCAGTCATATACGCATGCATCTTTAGCATTAACTGGAGAGCCGTTTATGCATGAGAGTAAGGTCTATGGTACTTATTTCATGCATGCTGGAGGTATAAATTGGAGTAAACAATTAAATAAACAAATGTTGGTTCCCAGACCTTGTAAGACGGGAATGAAGTATCGTATGTGCTGACGGCTCATATCCGACAAACGGGAAATGTTGGAATAACATCTATTGTTAAGGGGAAATCGTTTTATCGGCTTGTTTCTAATGGGCCACAAGTATGTTACTTGTGAGTATTGTATGTTTGGCGGTTGATTCCCTAAATACAGCGTGCTTGTGTTTGCCTGTGAAGGAGTGTGGGCCGGCTCCGTTGATGAAACGTGGTTCCCATCCGCATGCCTCCCGGTCTTATTCCTTCGGGTTTACACTGGATATGGGGTATGTGGTTGGAGCTGTGGGTGGTGCAGCGCAAGCCATCCATGGTCCCTGTGTAGGCGCAGGCGTCCTGTGGCTTGCCACAGTGACAGGCAAATCCGAAACCGGATGCCGCCAACGATGTTTGGCGAACTAAAGATTGCAGTGGAGCTGACAGCCACCAGCCTAACGGTACCGCATTGGTGAACTGTACCTTGCTAAATAAACAAGTGTGGCGAACGGTCAGTGGACTGTTGCCAATCTGACATGGATCGACTTATTCACCAGCTAGTTGTACTGCTCTTCGGTAGCAGTAGCAAAGGCATATTTTGAGTGCTAAGCAGCTCAGTACAGCTGTCCCGCCACTGTTACTACCGTTCACATTTCTCGTCCACTTTTGCCACGTTGTTTAAGAAGTTAGGTAATCTCCACGTCCTGACTACGGCGTATCATCTGTCCGCTAACGGCATGGTAGAACGATTTGAACTCCAATTGCAGGCAGCCCTCCGGTCGTACGCAGACCCTTCATGGTGCGAAAATCGTCATATTGGTCTTAGGAATACCAGCACAGCCGTTCTACGGCTGCACGCCGAGGTTTTTCTGATAACTGATAGCACCAGCACCATCCACTTCCTCCTTCGACTATGGAAGTTCCACTTATCGGTTAGCTCACTAAATGCGTGAATTGAGTCTGCCAGCTTTTTGGTTGCAGAAGACACCGGTGTTATCTGTCAAAAACCTGTCTGCTTACTCACACGTACTGCTTCGCGTAGTCGGTGTTCGGTGGCCTCTGCAGTCGCTGTACATCAGGCCCCCAAAAGTTATCAACCGCACAAGTAAGACATTTACAATCGACAACGTTGGATAATACAAAATTGTCACGTCGATCGCTTAAAACCAGTGTTTTTGGAGGGAAACACTTCGGTTCCATCATCTAGCAATGCTTCGTGCGATATTACAACTAACTGTACCAATCTTCAGCAGGCTAGTGTTGTCTAATCAGACCACGATTCTGGTCTATAGACCTCAGCCGTTCCGACATTTTCCGAGGCTAACCTGTCGTCTTGCAAGACCAACCGCCATGATCAGGAGGTTCGTAGGCCTGTTCGCTTTTCCGAGTATGTACAGTGTAAATACGTTTATGTTTGTAAATACTGTGCGTTTGCCCAGTTTCTGGTTCATCGACCTTTTGAAAAAAATCGGAACTTCCTAAAAAACCTTTGAAAAATCACAAACAGTAATCTAAGCAGTTCTGCGTGCAAGTCATTCTTTCGTTCTCTCTGGCAAGTGTTCTGCGTGAGTTTTTCTTTGTCGTCCCAACCCTCTCTTCAATGCACTGGCCTTCACGGGCGACGCATTCGACCGCAGTCCACGGTGATTCCGACGCGAACGCTGGGTGTTTCTTCGTGGGCCGAGGATCGTTTTGGCGTTAGTAGGGGGCGGCGGGGAGAGTGGTCACTCCACTCGCACTGTTTGGCAGCAGCAGAAGTTGAAATTTCGTCTGTCTCTTTTCTGAACTAGCCGGTTTATTTTGAAGTCCGACCAGCCCGCTCCAACGGCTCGCCATGATGCACCCTGTCTTGCAACCAGTAACTAATAAATAACAAACGGCACAGCGATTTCCGACGACCTCCCATTTGCTACGAATGCTCACGCTC